AATATATATATACAGGGTTATATATATATATACATATATATATATACAGGTATATATATATATACAGGTGTTTGGAAATAATCGCTAAATATTTCATGGGCAGATAAAGCGGACTAAACTGAGTCGAAAAGTCCTCTCATTTTGTAAGTTTCCCCAATAATTAATGAGATATTAATCCTCAAAAATAGCCAAATACTACTGCGAAGTATATGCGCCTACCGATCGCTTGGTGCGCAAGCCGTGGGGAGCAGCCTGGCAATCGCGCCATCCGAGCTATGGAGACTTGCGGCGGTGTGCGCAGCGCAGGGAGCTTGCTAGCCAATTCCCAAGACCCAAGCGATCGGTAGGCATATACACTTCGCAATAGTAGACTGAGCGAACGCGCGTATTCGGCTATCTTTAAGGATTAATATCTCATTAACTATTGGGGAAATTTACAAAATAGTAGAGAACTTTACGACTCAGTTTAGTCCGTTCTACCTGTCCATGAAATATTTGGCGATTATTTCCAGATACCCTGTATATATAGAAACCTACGAATTGGAAAAAAAGGAAATCACTTTGTGAGTCTGTGACATGCCAAAAAAAATTTGCGAAAATTTTCAACTATCTATATCATTTAGAGTTTTCCTTACAAAATCGTTTTTTAAAAATATTTCTATAATTTTTAATTCTTGAGTTATTCACGAGTTAAATAAAGGAGTATTTTAATTTTGATTGCTCATAACTTCATTAAAAATCATCGTACTGCAATTAAAAAAACAAATTTTTAAAGTTGAAATATTGCTCTATCGAATAGTATTATGTTAATTTTTAAATATAAAATATAAAAATTTGAGTTAAATTTCTTATAATCGCAATAAAAAACAAAGGATAGTAATGTCACATTTTTAATTTAAATGTACATTATATAAAATTAAAGGATCGCTTAGTTTCTATTTCTGTTCGTATAGCTTCGTAAAAAATTAATCTGATCGAAATATCAATTATTGGGAGTTAGTTCGGTTCGTTTTTTGTGCATTTATTTCAAAACAAAATGAACGAACAGATCAATTAAAGTATTGGCCATCGCTGCCTACTACTTTTTTCCATCTCTCAGGCAATTTTCGAATTCTCGAAAAAATCGAATCATCTTTGGAGGCGATTCAATTTTGGAGCCAATTTTCGATTTTTGCGAAAGAAGTGAACCGGTGACTTGCTGCATTCTTCGCAACAATCAGTAATCAGAAGGAGCAATGTCCAGAGTATACGGCGGGTGCGGTAAAACATCCCATTTGAGCGTTTCCAAATATTTTTTTATGACTTTAGAGACATGAGGCCCAGCGTTGTCATGAAGAAGAATAATTTTATCATGTCTTTGCTCGTATTCCGGCCGTTTTTCTCGCAATGCACGGCTCAAATGAATCAATTGTAGCCGATACCCGTACCAATCGCCCGTAATGGAATCGCCATGTTTCAGCAGCTCATAGTAAATAAGACCTTTTTGATCCTATCAGATACAGAGCACGATCATCTTCGAACCATGAATGTTCGGCCGTAGTGTTGAGGTCGATGGCAACGATTGACCGGGCTTAACGTAGTATTTTTTCTTTGGAGTTGTCGTAGAATATCCACTTCTCATCTCCAGTCACAATCCGATGCAAAAAACTTTTTCTCTGTTATCTTTAAATCAGCTATTCGCAAGTGAAAAATCGCCTTTCAATGTCTCTCGGTTTCAGTTCATAAGGCATCCAATTTCCTTGTTTATGAATCATTCCTATGGCTCTCAATCGTACAGAAACGGTTTGTTAAGTTACCCCCAATGATTCTGCAAGGTTCTCTTGCGTTTGACTCTGACTTTCTTCGAGTAATGCCTCTAATTCTTTGTCTTCGAATTTTTTTGGCTGTCCAGAGCGAGGCTTGTTTTCAACGCTGAAATCTCCATGAAACATCCTTGAAACGTCGAAACCTACATTCCCTACATGATTTGTCAGTTGGAGCAGTGTCACCGTAAACTTCGACAAGCATTCGATGAACCTCAGCCGCACTTTTCTTCCAATTAAAACAGAAAATTAAAACCTCCCCAAATGCTACTTGGTTAACACAAAATTCGACATTTCAAACACAGTAAAAATCAAGGTTTTTGTATGAAACTCAAAGCGATATAAACTGAATATTATTAGCAAATGTTTAACCTCTCTAAAACCGCCAAAATCAGCTGTTAGTATGAATCATTCACAACAGTTGGAACTATCTTTAGGAAAACGGACTGAACTAATTTGTACTTCCAATACCAATTTTGAAAATTGATATTTTAAGCTTTAAAATATATTTTTAAAAATTATATCGTTATGATCATTTTTTGATAAAGTTACAATCTTTTAAATATTTATCTATTTTTGAGGACTAGGTGATTCTTTAATCTTTTTACGTAGTGTATATTCTATTTTTTAAAAAATTGGCAATAACATCACTTGATAGAACAAGTTTCAGTTTTAAGAATCTGTTTTATTAATTATGGTATAATGATTTTTAACGGAATTATGAGCAATCAAAATCAGAATGCTCTTTTATTTAATCCGCGTGTAACTTGGTAACAAAAAATTGTAGAACATTTTTTAAAAACGAACTTTTCGGAAAAACTTTAAGTTTTCATGTAGTCGAAAATTTCGCAACAAATATATTTTATATATAATTTTGAGCTAACAAAATTCCGTAGAACTTTTTCTCCAACCTAATATAATTTTAAAAAATAAAATGTAATCTAACTTGAAACTTGACATAATTTTTGTTGTTATTATATACATGCTACATATTTACATGTTAGTTATTTACAAATATAATAATATGATATTGTTTATGTGTTTTATTATTTAAGAAATGATAATTTATTGAAAACTATTACTAAACTATTACTTTTAATTATTGAAAAATATTGAATTTTTTCAATGTCTACTATGTCTTTTTAAGAATGTCCTCCAACTGCAGTTGTGCTCAATCTAATGAACACGTTAGTGCTCATCATTAATGAAAATTTTTATGAAAATTTATTTCACTTTTATATAGTATAAGATATTCCATAAGTGTTAA